TTTTTTTTTTTTTTTTTTTTTGCTTCAGCCTCACGTATGATGAGGCATATATCCACATATTTTTGTCTTTTTCTTCTTGCCTAAGGCAGAAAAGTCAGTCTTTACTAACATATTGTTTAGAACACCATAAATATTTTCCTTTGTATTTATACTGTTAAATGGTATAATGAAGGCTGAGTGTGGTGGCTCACATCTGTAATCTCAGCACTTTGGAAGGCCAAGACAGGAGGATTGCTTGAGGCCAGGAGTTTAACACCAGCCTAGACAACACAGCAAGACCTGTCTCTACCAAAAAAAAAAAAAATTAGCTGGGTGTGATGGCACATGCCTATAGTCCCATGTATTCAGGAGACTGAGGCGGAAGGATCTCCTGAATACAGGAAGACAAGACTGCAGTGAACCATGATTGTGCCAGTGTACTCCGGCCTGGGCAACAAGACTGAAACCCTGATACAGCAATCCCACTACTGGATATCTACCCTAAGAAACAGAGGTCATTATATAAAAAAGACACCTGCTCCATTGCAGCACAGTTCACAATTACAGAGATGTGGAGTCAACCTAAATGCCCATCTACCAGTAGATAATGAAAATGTCGTCTATATATACTATAGTATATATAGACTATGCAGCTATATAAAAGAATGAAATCATGTCCTTTGCAGAAACATGAATGGAGCTGGAGATCATCATCCTAAGTAAACTGACTCAGAAACAGAAAACCAGATACTGCATGTTCTCACTCATATGTGGGACTAAATGGTCAAAGATGGAAATAATAGATACTGGGACACCAATAAAGGGGAGGGGAGGAGGAGTTAGGTTTCAGAAACTACCTATGGGGCACAATGTTCACTATCTGGTGAATGGGCCCCCCGAGACCCAATCCCCACCACTACACAATATGTCTATATGGCTGGGCACGGGGGCTTAGCCTGTAATCCCAGCACTTTGGGAGGCTGAGGCGAGAGGATTGTCTGAGCCTCGGGGCCCGAGATCAGCCTGGGCAACTTGATGAGACCTCGTCTCTACAAGGTCTATCACAAGAACTAGCCAGGCGTGGTGGCGTGCATCTACTGGAAGGCTGAGGCGGAATGATCGTCTAAGCCCAGCAGGTCTAGGCTGCAGTGTCCATGAGTGTGCCATTGCACTCCAGCCTGGGCAACAAGGGTGAGACTCCAACTAAAAAAAAAAAAAAATGTCCATGTAACCAATATGCATGTATACCTCCTGAATCTAGAATAAAAAGCTTAAAAATACATATGTGTATAAAATAATGAATAATATAAACTGTAAATAACTAAGCAGCAGTTCCAGTCATCTTTCTCTCTGGTGCCAGCATGTTGCATGGCGCAGGGATAGGACCAGAGAGAGGCATGTGAGGCACTAGTGTCGGCTGTGGTGAGGGACTTACTCTTAGGGTTGGCATCAAATGTGAGGATCTCCTGACATCTTGTGCTCACTTGTTGCACTTGGCCCTGGATGCTCCTTTCAGGTCTTTTTAAAAATTGGACTTGTGGTTGGGCTCAGTGACTTAAGCCTGTAATCCAAGTACCTTGGGAGGCCAAGGTGAGGGGATTATCTGAGCCCACGGGTTCAAGAACAGCCTGGGTACCTTAGCGAGACCTCATCTCTACAGTATATCCAAAAAAGTACCTGGGCATGGTAGCATGTGCCTGTAGTTCTGGTTACTTGGAAGGCTGAGGCAGAAGGATCACCTGAGCCCAGTAGATTGATGCTGGGGTGGCCATGAGTATGCCACTGTACTCTAGTCTGAGCAACAGAGTGGGACTTCAGCTAAAAAAAAAAAAAAAAAAAAAAAAGAAAGGACTTGCAGCTGCTTTATTGAAATAAGCCTAAAATCTGACACATATTGCATGAAACCACTTACCTTAACTGGAATCAGAGGATCAGTGAACTAGATCCCTATTAATTAGCCTTGCACCTTCCAAACCTCGTTGCCATGAATGTTGATATTCGAAATCTTTTCTTCCAGACAAACTCTGTTTGCTAGTGCCGATACTGCCTATGTCCTGGCATATTCAATTATTATGCTCACTACAGACTTGCACAGTCCTCAGGTAAAAGATTTTAATGTGTACATTGTAGTAGCTAAATAAGTAGCTTTATTTGAGTAATTGGATGTTTTTTATGGTTTTTGTTTTTTAAAATTTCAGGTAAAAAATAAAATGACAAAAGAGCAATATATTAAAATGAATCGGGGAATTAATGATAGTAAAGATCTACCAGAAGAATATCTTTCAAGCATCTATGAAGAGATAGAAGGCAAGAAGATTGCAATGAAAGAAACAAAGGAGCATACAATTGCAACCAAATCCACTAAGCAGAGTAAGGTCTACTGGCAAATGATTTCCATTCTAAGTTTTGAGTGTATCAGAATGCATGATTAAGTACTAATTTGCATATCTAGATATCAATAGGAAATTTGATTAATTATTATGATTATGTTGGGTTTTTTTCATAATATCACTACCTTGCTAGATTTGTGACTAGGAACAAGAGGGAGTTTAAAATAAGTAATCTGAGAGCTAAATTACCCAAAAAAGGTGTTCTTTAGAATTTTGCTTTAATTCCAGTGGTGACTGTGCCCAGGTTGGTTAGAATTCTGTTAGTTAAGGCCCCTATGCAACTGTCAGTTTCTCTAAGAGGCAGCAGAGTGCAGTGGTCTAGAGCAGAGGCTTTCAAGCCACACCATCTTGGATCAAGTCCCAGCTCTCCTACTTATTAGCTTTATGACCCTGGGCAAGTGAGTTAACCTCTCTGCCTCACTTTTCCCACCTGTAAAATGGTAATAATGTTTGTAGCAGATGCATGAGGTGGTGGGAAGACTTGGGAGGTAATCACTGTGCTTCCTTTAGAATAGCGCCTGGCCTATCACAAGCACTTGGTAAGTGTTAACTGTGCGTACCATGCTCTTACTTCCTTACAGATGTAGCTAGTGAAAAGCAGCGACGGCTCCTGTATAATTTGGAGATGGAGCAGATGGCTAAAACAGCCAAAGCTCTGATGGAAGCCGTTAGCCACGCCAAAGCCCCGTTTACAAGTGCTACTCACTTGGATCACGTCCGGCCAATGTTCAAAGTGAGTTTCTGAGAAGTTAGAGCACCTGTGGCTAAGCCTGATTCTGGAGTTGGCCAGCTGGAAGCTCACTGGTGAGGTTACAGTGGTAAAGAGATGGAGGAGAGGAAAGGACATGTCTGGATGCTTCTGTCTGAATGGTAACTCAAGCAAGTCCTTCCTGCACATCCTTTTGGATGATGCTGGGGAAGTGCCAGCACCAGCTGTGGACTCTGCCAGCAGAGTGGCTGGGTTTGAGTCCTGGCTTTGCCACTTGGTAGCTGTATTACCTTGGTCAGGTTATTTAACCTCTCCCTCTGTTCATTATCTGTAAAACCGGGCCAAATACAGGATTGCTATGAGAACTGGGGACGTTGAGTGAATTAATAATTATTCAGGCAAAAGATAAAAGGACAGTTGTATTGGGATATTATCCCAGTGGCCTTAGGGTTAGTATAGTAGATGAGATTAGATGGAAGAAAAAGACAGTAGCCTGAGGGCTCTCTATTTTTAAAATGTCTAGAAAAGATATATATTCTATATATATAGCACATCATTTTTCTTTAATTTTTTTTTAAGAGATGAAGTCTTGCTAGATTGCCCAGGCTGCATTTAGGCTTAAGTGATCCTCTCACCTCAGCCTTCTGTGTAGCTGGGATTACAAGTGCCTGCCACCATACCTGGCTTCTCTAATGTTTTTATGTTTTAATGTTGTTGTTGAGTTGTGGTCTCACTTTGTCACCCAGGCTGGAGTGCAGTGACGCAATCACAGCTTACTGCATCCTCAACCTCCTAGGCTCAGGCAATCCTTCTGCCTCAACCTCCCAGGTAGCTACAGGAATACAGGTGCATGCCACCATGCCCGGCTAATTTTTATTTTATTTTTATTTTTGTGGAGACAGGTCTCAGTGTGTTACCCGGGCTGGTCTCAAACTCCTGGACTAAAGCAATCCTTTAGCCTCAGCCTCCCAAATTGCTCAGATTACAGGTGTGAGCTACCACTTCTAAACCTCGAATATGTTTTTATAGTAATTGTCAGTGTCCTGTTAAGTGATCAATTTTAGAATTTTGTGACCTTTTATTTCCAAGGAATTTCAATAAAGGTGGAAGAAAAGTAAAGTCTAAGTATTTTAAATTAGAGATCTTTCAGTAAACTAAGTTATAGAACATAAATCGCTTTTGGGTTTTATTTTGTATGCCAGCCTCTGATTGATAACGACTACTTGGTAAACTATGTAAAGAAGGACTATCAAGCCACCTATAGATTCATCAGGGAACGGAGTATTCTGAGATTTACTAGTGATGTCGTGGTGGCACACTAGCCATACATTGGCAGTTCTTTCTTTTGAAATATATGTTTAGTATGTAGCACATTTATAGCAATAGCTGTGACCATAGCTTAGGAGGAACTCTTTTATATTGTCAATAGATTGAAATCAAAATAGCAGTGAACTTGGCATCCTGGCTGTTCCTCTAACAGTGTAGTCTCTAAGTGCTTCTTCCATACCAGAACTCTGGATGTTACTGAAACCTTCCTGCCTTGATAGCTGGTGTGGACGCCACTGCTGGCAGCCTACAGCATTGGATTACAGAACTGTGATGACACTGAAGTGGCCTCCCTGTGTTTAGAAGGCATCCGATGTGCCATTCGAATTGCCTGTATCTTTGGAATGCAGGTGGGTGGAAGTCAGCAACACTCCAGAAATAGTGGTGTGTTGTGTTCTTCTAGACTTGGCAAGACTTAGAAACTGTAAAACATTTCCAGCTAATCAAGTCAAAGCAAACATTTTACTGATGCCCACTGAGAAGAAATCAGTAGCTTTGTACTAGTTGATTATTAGGGGGGGAAATAATTGGAGATTTGGATTCAAACTTTCTTTAAGTGTAGGTGGGATCCAAGCTACTTGATTGGACCTGGCAAAACAGTTTCCTATGCATCTGCCTAACTTGTCTGCTCTGGTACTTAAAAATATTGTATTTTCCTTTTAAGGTTCGAATCTATTACAATTTCCTGTGTTTCCAATTCTCCTCTGGGGAAACAAATAACTCAGTGCAATATAAATATGTCTGCAGACCTTTTGAATCTTGAAAAATTGAAGCAAACAAATTAAATATAACTCTTAAACTGTTATGAAATCAGGAGGTTGTCAATCCCATGCATCACTTTCTAAGTCATTAAGAAGTTACACCTATTTGTTCTGAAAAACTAAGTCTTCTGTTCCCATTTATTTTATCGTTAAACATTTTATTTTGTACCAACACTGCAGTCTTTGAAGTCAGGCAATCTGGGTTTTAAAACCTGGCTCTGCTGCTTCTCCAATCATGTGACATTGGTCCAGCTAACTTCTCCCTAAGACATCATTTATAAACTTGAAAATGTAGACTGCCGGGCTCGGTGGCTCAGCCTGTAATCCCGCGCCTTTGGGAGGCTGAGGTGAGTGGATTGCCTGAGCCCGCGGGTTCGAGACCCGCCTGGGCAGGCAAGACCTCATCTCTACAATAAATCAAAAAAAAAAATTAGCTGGGCATGGTAGAGCGTGCCTGTAGTTCCGGCTACTCGGAAGGCTGAGGCGGAAGGATCACCAGAGCCCAGCAGATCGAGGCTGTGGTGGCCAGGAGCGGCCACTGCACTCCAGTCTGGGCGACAGAGTGAGACTCCAGCTCAAAAAGAAAAGAAAATATAGACTTACCTTGCAGGATTGTTGCAGATATTAGAATGTATGTGACAATCTTAGCGTTCAACAGAGAGAATGGAACATAGGTCAGATAAGTTTGATTGAAGTCCATTGGAAAGGAGAGAGCTACTTCTCAGATGTGTCAGTTTGTAGTAAGCCACGATGGGATGTTCTGGTGGCAGGAGGACATCAGTATGGAATGAATGATGGGCATGTTAACGTGCAGAAAGCCTGACAGTCTGCACATGGAAGGTCTCAGAGAAGCCCAGGGCTCCTCCCTGCAGTGTGAAAATGATTTTGAGTCACGGTGTTCTCTTATCTCATGGGCTTCGGTACAGCTGGAACGAGACGCCTATGTGCAGGCTCTTGCTCGCTTCTCCCTGCTCACAGCCAGCTCCAGCATCACAGAAATGAAGCAGAAGAACATCGACACCATCAAGACCCTTATCACAGTGGCTCACACCGACGGCAACTACCTGGGGAATTCTTGGCATGAGGTATGTGTCTCTTTGAATTGCCTCTTATTCATTCCTTTTATCCCTTTTATTCAGTGCTAATCTCTTTTGGTTAGTTCCATTTTTCTTTTCTTTTTTTTTTTTGAGTTGGAGTCTCACTCTTTTGCCCAGGCTGGAATACAGTAGCACGCTCATGGCCACTGCAACCTCGACCTGCTGGGCTCAGAGGATCCTTCTGCCTCAGCCTTTCAAGTAGCTGGAACTACAAGAGGATTGCGTGAGGTAAAGACCAACCTGGGCAACATAGTGAGACCTTGTTTCTACAATAAATAATTTTTTTTTTAATCAATTGGGCAGGCATGGTGACACATGCCTGTAGTTCCAACTACTTGGAAGGCTGAGGTGGAAGGATCCTCAAAACCCAGCAGGTCAAGGCTGCGGTGACTGTGAGCAGGTTCACTCCAACCTGGCCAACAGAGTGAGACTCCAACTCAAAATAAAACAAAGAAAACAGTGCATTAATAGTTTACTGGTAATAATTTAGGAGTATGCTGTGTGAAGAAATCAGGGGATGGTTTTCTTTGATGAAATTAAGTCTATTTTTCAGTCAAGAGGAAGGCAATTTATAAGTAAAAGTACTTGTTGGTGCTCAGTGGTATAGGGGAGTTCTGTACTCTGTGGGTGGATTGTAAGGTCAGCAAGAAAGGCAGCACTCAGCTTTCATCCTAAGTTCATATGAAGTTTCCTTGGGCCTGGAGATCTGTGTGCTATTCCTTAATAAATTTTGCGTAGCTAGTGCTTCCTCGGGTAGAAGATGGGGCCAGTTTCTGTTTCTTCAGATAAGCTTCAGATAAGTTTGTGTGTGTACAGGTATGTGTACTCAAGCGTCAGAAGCACCTCAGGGCCAGGAGGTGCTTACCTCCCCTGCATGCTTACCCTAAGGCACTTATTATTTCTTCAGTTAACCAAGTAATAGTGCAACTCTTTCAAGTGCTAGGCACTCAGCAGTGAACAGGACAGAGCTACCACCCTTTTGGCACCTAAGGCAGAGAACAAATGGTATAATGTTTGTAAAGTGGTATGCACTAAGAAAAAAAAGTGTGATGGGGGTAATGATGGGAGATGTGGTCTCAGGGTAGTCAGGGAAGGTCTCTCTGAGGGGGATACTATTGTCTGAGCTGGAAATTGAAGGAGTGAGCCATGGGGAAGCAACATTCCAGGCATCATCAACAGCAAGTGAAAAGACCCTGGGGTGGGACCAGAGATGGCAAGCTATAAGGGACAATGTAGGCTGGGCATGGTGGCTCAAACCTGTAATCCCATCACTTTGGGAGGCCTAGGCAAGAGGATTGCCTGAGTTCAGGGGTTCGAGATCAGCTTGGACAACTTGGTGAGACCTTGTCTCTACAATAAATCAAAAAATGAGCTGGGCATGGTAGCACGTGCCCGTAGTACCAGCTACTTGGAAGGCTGAGGCAGAAGGAACACCTGTGCCAGCAGGTTGAGGCTGCAGTGGCCATAAGCGTGCTACTGCACCCCTGCGTGGGCAACAGAGTGAGACTCCAACTAAAAAAAAAAGAACAGGCTGGTCTGTTGTGTCTTAGGGGGAGTGTGGTGGAAAGGGATGTGGGAATGCTATGTCAGACTAAGTGGTGCGCTTACTGAGAGGCATGATGGGTAGAATCCCCTGCTCTAGTCAATACTTTTTCTCTCATTACTGAGCACTTACAAATCTGCATGAACCTCTGTATGGCCTAAACATCTCTATTTGCATAAATGTCTCCAATGTACCAACTTTTCTTTAATGACTAACTTAAGATGCCCCTTTTCAAACTGTAAAGTGGGAACTTATTTGTTCATGCCTTCTTTTCATTAGATCTTGAAATGCATCAGCCAGCTGGAGCTCGCTCAGCTGATAGGAACTGGTGTGAAGACCCGCTACTTGTCTGGGTCCGGGCGTGAAAGAGAAGGGAGCCTGAAGGGCCACACATTGGCAGGAGAAGAGTTCATGGGCCTTGGCCTTGGTAAGACACCAGGCCCCACGTGGGCTGTCACGGATTAGCTAATTTAAAGAGTGAAACCCCTCTTGTCTCATCAGACTGTCATGTAAATGATCTCTTCTTCATGTGCAGCAGACTGTACTTATGAATGAAGTGGACATGCTGCTTCAGCTCTCTTGTGATTACATTGTTGAGTAAAGTGTTTCATTTCACCAATATCAGCAGAGTGCATTACATTACTCTTGTCACTGTACCTATAACTCTACTGAGGAGAAAAGCTGTTTGCTTTAAAAAGGCTACAGCTCTAGTGCCCGATAATAGAGGGGCATGTGTGTGTCTCTAGGTTTTAAAGGATAGATTCAGCATTTTTTCCACATCCATTGGGGGACTTTTATTAAATAGTATTCTTATGCAAGTAGAATTATTTCTGGCTATATATTGGTTTGAGAGTAATATAATAACATAACATAATAACAGTAAATAACATGATAATAGCTACATAACATAACAGCATAATAATAATAGTAAATAGGGCAAGCAAATGTGCCAGGCTGCATTCTGAGCCCTTGGTTTATATGTTTTAATTCATTTCCTCCTCATAACCTAATGAGATAGGGACTATCTTCCTATTTTATTTTATTTTCTGAGTTGTAGTCTCACTCTGTCACCCAGGCTGGAGTGCAGTGGTGCACTCATAGCTGTCTCAGCCTCAACCTGCTGAGTTCAGGCGATCCTTCCACCTCAGCCTTCCAGGTTGCTGTAACTACAGGCGCACGCTACCATACCTGGCTAATTTTTTTTATTTATTGTAGAGATGAGATCTTGCCAAGTTGTCCAGGCTGGTCTCGAACCCCTGGACTCGGCAATCCCCTCACCTCAGCCTCCCAAAGTGCTGGGATTATAGGCGTGAGCCACCATGCCCAGCTAAAATGGGGGTTGTAATAGCACCCACTTCTCAGGGTGCTTGCGAAGTTTACTGGAATGAAATCCTGTAACATGCACCAAGCTTTCTTCAGGCCTGAGTAGTTACATGTTCTAGGAGCTCTGCATTAGTAGCAGTTGATTCTGATTTGTTCTCCTAAATGTAAAAGACCACAGAGAAAGGGAAGTGATTGGTACAAACAAGAGAACTTACAATAAGAATGTATGCCAAATGCTAAAATGTAAGTTTAGTTTTATTTTATCATCAGTGAGGATTCTTTTTTCTTTTTTTTGCCTGTGAAACCATTCTCATTCATGTCACTAGTCTCTACATATTGATGCATCTGGATATTTTGTTTGAAGTACTTGGCTGCATTTAAATACTACTGATTTTGTGCATCATGTTTCAGGTAACTTGGTGAGCGGTGGAGTTGATAAAAGGCAGATGGCCAGCTTCCAGGAATCGGTTGGTGAAACCAGTTCACAGAGTGTGGTCGTAGCTGTGGACAGGTAATGATCTGATTCTTCAGTGAGGCTGGACCACCTAGACTTTCATTATTTTTTCTATAGTTAATAGGCATAAATGATTCCTGATTTGTTTGACTGTTATAAACGTTGACAGCTCCAGATTACTTAAGCTTCATATTCATTTGAGTTTTTATCTTAAATTGCATTATGACCTTTTTTTAAAAAAGTCTTTAACATTATGACAAATTATGTAAAGAGTTTTTGCTTGTGCTAATATTTTAAATTACTTTGTTTCCTTAGTGGAAATTATATTTTTAAAAAACACATGAAGCATATAGTATTTAAAGTCGACCCATGAGTGAGAGTTGACTTAGTTGATAGTTTCCATTTCTTTTTTTTCTGAAAACCTTTTCATTATTTCTGTTTACTTGAAGGTTAACTTTTTAAAAATCCAGGAGAGATACAGATAGTCTTATTTAAATTATTCTAATTTCAGAGCATTTTTATCACTCCATAAAGAAGTACTTATTAGCAGTCAGTCCCCATCTCCTTCCTTTCCCCCATCCCTCAGTCCCTTTAATCAGTAATCTACTACCTATACAGGTTTGCCTGCTCTGGACATTGTTGAATTGTCTATTTTCCCCTTTAATTCTATCCTTTTTGTGCCTTACATATTTTAGGACTCTGTTAGATGCATATATGTTTATAATTACCATGCTTTATTAATGGATTAAGCCTTTTATCATTATACAATATTCTTTGTCTAGTAATGACTTTTTATTTCATCTGTTTTGTCAGATGTTAGTGTAGTCAGCCTAGCTCTCTTCTGGTCATTGTTTCCATCGTGTATCTTTATTCCTACCCCTTTATTTTCAGTCTCTTTGTGTCTTTGACTCTAAAGTGAGTCTCTTGTAGACACTGTATAATTAGATTGTTTATTTGATTCATTCTCCCAATCTCTTTTTTTTTTTAGAATATTTAGTGTTTTTGCTAGTAAGGTGGGATTTATGTCTTACTATTTTGCTACTTTTTAACATGTCTTTTTTTTAAACATCTTATTTTTTTGTCTTCCCTCTTCCTCTATTATTACTGCCTTCTTTATGTTAAATAGACATTTTCTAATGTATCACTTTACTTTTTGTTGTTTATTTTACTACGCTTTTTGCAGTTACTGTCATGCACCCCATAATGACATTTTAATCAACAACAGACCACATATACAACAGTGGTCCCATAAGAGTATAATACTGTATTTTTACTGGACATTTCTGTGTTTACATATGTGTTGATACACAAATACAATACCATTGTGTTACAGTTGCCTACAGTATTTCAATATAGTAATGTGTTGTACAGGTTTGTAGCCTAGGAGCTATATACCATATAGCCTGGGTGTGTAGAAGGTTATACCTTCTGGGTTTGTGTAGGTACACACTATGATTTTCACATGACAATAAAATCACTTAATGACACATTTCTCAGAACGTATACCATTGTTTAGCAATGCGTGGCTGTTGTCTTAGTGATTACCTTGAGGTTTGTGATTAATATCTTAACACTCTAGTTGAATTAATATCAACTTAATTTCAGTAGTATAAAAAAATTTGAGTCTAATACAGCTTTGTTTCCTTCCCCCTCATTTGTGCTTTTATCATCATGCAAATTGTATATTTACAGATATATAGCCATCAACACAGATTGATGATTTTTGCAGTTGTCTTTTCAATTACACAAGTTTTTAAGAATTACAAACAAAAAATGTATTGTCCTTTGTACTTTCCTTTATACTAATCTTTACCTGTACTCTGTTTCTTCATGTAGTTTTGAGCTATTGTCTGGTTTACTTTCATTTCTTTTTTTTTTTTTTTTGGGT